TAACTTTATCTTAATAACTTTTTTGTAATTTAAAAATATAAATTCACAGTATTTTTTTTCCCCTGTGGAAGGAAAGCAAAATATCTCACTTACCTTTCAAGAACAGCGTGGGAAACAAAAAACTAAAGGCGTGGAATATCTTTAACAATTCCACCCAATCTATGGTGGAAGTAAAGCACTTTCAGTGCCTTCTCATGCTCTCTTTTCTCCTCTGACAAGGTATGAATCTTTAGCCCTCTGCTTGATCTTCCTCTGTTTCTTGCCATGGGTTTTGATCATAGAAAACTGCTCCAAGCAAATAGTTTCAAGTGTGATAATTATAGATATTGTAATGAATCTCAAAACCCATATGGGATTTGCGTACGATCATGCCTTTCAATCTGCCCTGAGTTCTGCAAGAATTTTCCTGGACGTCTTCCACCACCGAGACCTGAAGGTCTTCCACCACCGCCATTTGGTACCGAAAATCACCTATTAAGGACTGTTATGTATATTGTGACATGTTTGATTGGTGGTCTTCTTCTTTGTGCTATCTTCTGTACACTTATTAGAATGTATTATTTTAGGAGGAACAATAGGAGGAGGATTGAGGGTATAATTTTTGATATCCAGGAAGATTTTCTTGATGAAGATCGTGGTCCGCCAATTGACAACCCCTTTTGGAACATCAACACTGTTGGTCTTCCACAATCAGTTGTTGATTCGATCACGGTCTTCAAGTATGGTAAAGATGAGGGGTTGATTGATGGAACGGATTGTTCTGTTTGCTTGAGTGAGTTTCAAGAAGATGAAAGTCTTAGGCTTTTGCCCAAGTGCAGTCATGCTTTTCATATTCCTTGTATTGATACTTGGTTGAGGTCACACAAAAATTGTCCCTTGTGCCGTGCCCCTGTTGTCTGTGATGCAATTGTTGATCGAGCTAGTGTGTCAGAATCTCACGTGAATCATTCAGGTTCGAGTGAAGAAACCCTGGTGGGGAATTCAGAGAATTATGAACTGGGGAGCAATGATGTTGGAGAGGGTGGAGATGGTGAGAGGGTAACTACAGATGGCAATTTAGGAACATTCCCAACTGAAGCAAAAAGTACCGCTGGAAGTTCAGAGAGAAGCTTGCCTCATTCAAAATCAACTCGAGTACTCAGTGATTTGGCTGGAAATAGGCAAGTGGTGGAAGAAGATATGCAGCCCATGAGGAGGTCAGTTTCATTGGGTTCATTTTCTGCAGTGATGGTTTATGGTGCTGTTGCTGGTCTTAAACAATGTGAGCATCAAGAAAATTCAGAAACTGGACCGGTAAAGGTAAAAAATACAAAGTCTAAGGTTGTTAGCGGAAGTTCGAGCAAAGGCAAAATGATAAAAAGTCCTTCAGTTGGTCCTTCTGTGTCAAAGGGGCCTATTTCAGTGAAAAGGTGTCTCTCATCCGGTGGGAAGTTCCTGTTACGCAGAGACAACAGAAGCGAGGACTCCATCCTTCCCTTGGAAACTTAAGGTCAGTTAAACAGCCAAAATTATTCTGTGGCATACTCCAGTAGCCTATTCAGGATGGTTTTGCCTCGAAATGCATGGTAATTTTGTAAGATGTATCAGTGTATGGATCCAAAGAATATTGAACAGACTCTAGCTATAGACTGAGTCTTCAAATGGTTGATAGTTCTTGTATACGAATTTTCGTTCTTAGATGTTATCTAAAGAAGGTAGTTTCAAGTGATTACTTTTGACTGCTTTGTCCTAAATTCTGGATAGCTTCGATGAGTTTGGTTTAGAAGTATATACAACTTAGATATATTTCATTCCCAATCTTCTTTTGTCTTGTTCTGACTGAAATGATTTCATATAAACTGTTTCCCTTTGATGAATCTTAAGGACGTTGATCTGGTGTTCAATATTGATGCACAAGGTTAATCTAGTTAATCCTAACCTTTCCTAGTGCAGTTTGGCCACAGTTGTAGAGTGTGAAATAGGTATGATCCTAGATCCTAATAACAATTCTTAAAGCATATCCTATAAATATCTGAAATAAGGCATCATGAATATTAGACTGGTACTGTCGTGATTTTCTTTCATTTGATGGCATCAGCTAATGTTGTGTTGCTTCTTCATCTGATGATGATGCCATTAACATTGCAGCGTGTCGAGTCCGGATGGTTAAGTTTGATATTGCTCCTGTTGGAGTTGAAATAATCTTACTGTTATATTCTGTGACTATATTCTCTGCAGTGTTATTTTTCCCTTCCAATTACCAAAGTTACAAGTTGCTTACAAAATAATCTGTTCTGGCACCTTTGCTTAGGAGAATTTGAGATTTATGCATTTCCCAGTTCTGATGCTTACCTATTGTCAAAGGAAAACTCTAATTAAACAAGTTGCTTACAGTGGCTCATACGGCTGGTTAATGTTGGTTCTCATCATTAATGCCTTTAAGCTGTAGTCTTCGGTTCAGGAAATTTGACACAAAAAGCATCACAACTGGAAATCAAAAGTCTTAATTAATCTCTTGCAAGGCTGTTGTCATGGAACTCGGCAGCCATTACTCTACATTGCACCCGCCCCTCTGGTGGCTATACAGCATTTCCTTTGAACATAAAACAAACAAGGTTAAATGCAAATTTTCATACCTCAACTTTTTATGTATTTTTTTGTTTTTAACTATAAAAAATATATTTTTTTAGCATTTTCGTCAATTAATTCATCAAGTTTATCTAAATATATATATTTTTAATTTTTCGACTTATAATATATATATTTATCTCTCAAATTAAAAGTTTAAAATTTAAAAATGTACATATATAAATAAATTTAATAAACTAATTAACAGAAAAATTAAAAAAAAAAACATATTTTTCATTATTGACATTTAAGAGACAACAAAATACATAAAAAAAGTTTAAAAGACAAAAGTTATACAAAACTTTAAAACTGAGAGACTAAATTTAAAAGTTACCAACAACAAACAAAAGCTGTGTCTGTTTTGCTTAATTTTTTTAGCATCTCAAACCCCATGGACCAGGGCATGTAATAATCTTCTTAGGCCCTGAACGGCTTTGAATACCCTTTCATCCATCCCCACGACCCATATGTGTGCCATGGAGTTCAGTTCAACCTCTCCTCCAGTCTTTGTAAAGGATTTTTAATTAACCCAATTATCCATATGCTATATAACTACCAATCTTTTTTTTTTTTTTCTCCTGATGTGGACATGAAGCGACCAATCCAAGTGATAATGATTTTTTTTTTTCAGCCAACCGAATGATAATGATTAATTTCAGATAATTTATATTTAAAACATTGAATTTTATCAGTTACTGAATTAGAAATAAGAATATACAAAATAGTTGAGAGTACGAAGGTGATGACGCCAATACAATTAGGGAACAAAATAATCAAACCACATT